GTGTGTGTGTGTGTGTGTGTGTGTGTGTATGTGTGTGTGTGTGTGTGTGTCAGTGATGTGTGTGTGTGTGTGTGTGTGTGTGTGTGTGTGTGTGTGTGTGTGTGTGTGTGTGTGTGTGTCCGCACAGGCGTTACTGTAAGTGTGCCCAGTCGTGTGTGTGTGTGGCTGTGCGCGCTCAGTCGCCTGTGCTGTGTCACTCTGTGTGTGTGTGTGTGTGTGTGTGTGTGTGTGTGTGTGTGTGGGTGTGTGTGTGGGTGTTTGTGCGTCTGTTTGTCTGTGTCTGTCAAAAACATGTGTGTGCATGTGTCTGTCTGTGTGTGTCAAAAACATATGTGTGTGTGTGTATGTTTGTGCGCATGCTAGCCGGCATTTTAATTTTCACTGTTTATTGTTACTACTGCATCCAGCCGTTAGCCGGTTTCCAGTCAAAATCGTCGGAGGCATGCTTGGACTGGCTAGGCTTTGCTTGGCTTGGTGCGCAATCCGAACGGCGAGCTTGATCGTCAGCGGGTGGACGGGGGAGAGAGATACAGAGTGACAGGGGGCGCACCGACATCTTTCACACTCACAATGGAGGCTATTATGGAGCTGTCCGACTTCATCACCGTTTGCTACGCAGCTCCGACGGAGTCGCTGCCCTCACTGTTGATGACGAGCGGCGGGAGCCATCACGAGCCTGGCTTGAAGAAGGCGCTTTCCCCAACGGGCTTGGGACGGCAAGAGGGGCAGCATCTAGGTCTGTACCCCGCCACGGCCCCCGCAGTTACCGCCCAGTTGTACTCCGCGCCGAGCCGGAGGGCGCTGGCAGTCAAGGCCAACGAAGAGGGGTCCGAGGGGCAGGAGGGGGACCTGAACAAGGACAGGACCCCATCAGGTGCTCAGACCGAAGGCTTGGCACCCAATCAGGCTAGAAGCGTTGCTCCAAGCAAGTCCGCGACCGCGTCCCCTGCTGCAAGCGCGTTCCACGTGACAGCAGTGCAGTATCTCGATTTTAGCCAGCCGTTGATGATCATGGACGTTGATCTGGATGCAAGGTCAGACCAAGCCAAAGGGGATAGCGCAAAGCTCACCCATCTCTTGGCTGATGCTTGCAGACCTCGAAGTCTTCCCAGCACCAGTGAGAGCAAGAACGAGAGAGAGCGAGACAGCAAGATGAGGAGGACTGATGAGTGTTGCAAGTGTTGCAATCAGGGGCCCCTGTGCCCAAACGATGTCCTGTGTGCCTTCACTGCATTTTGCGAAGAGAGGAGCCAGCATCACCTTGGCTATCCGGTGAATCTGGACTACGACTTCGCGGAGCTGCATCACTTGCAGCGGTTCTCAGTGATCAACACTGGCGACCCGTTTATCGAGGGGACCCTCAGCTTGCAGTCCCGTGCCTTCGAAGTGGGGGTATTGGACTGGTTCGCGCGGCTGTGGCAGATCCCGACAGAGGAGTACTGGGGGTACGTTACAAGTGGTGGGACAGAGGGCAACAACCATGGTATATTGATGGGAAGGGAGTTGTTCCCCGATGGGGTGCTATACACCTCCAAGGATGCCCACTACTCGGTGCTCAAAGCCGCGCGGATGTTCCGCATGGAATGCGTGGTAGTGCAGTCGGAAGTCAGCGGAGAGATGGCGTACGCGGACCTTCAGCGCCAACTCACCGCACGCAACGACCGTCCCGCCATCGTCGTGGTCAATGTGGGGACCACCATGAAGGGAGCAGTCGATGATGTAGACAGCGTCGTCAATGCACTCCAAGCCAGCGGCTTCCCGCGCGATCGCTACTATATTCACTGCGACGGCGCACTTTTCGGCATGATGCTGCCTTTTGCAACTCCGCCGAAGGCTCGTGCGGTGCCACTGGAGAAGGTCAACGAGGAGGAGGAGGAAGAGGAGGAGGAGGAGGAGGAGGAGGAGGAAGAGACCAAGCAGCAAACACAGGAGCAGCGGCGTCGGAGGCGGCTTCAGTCCATCTTCCCGGTGGAGGGGAGTGTCACTTTCAAGAAGCCTATAGATAGCATAAGTGTCTCGGGGTACAAGTTTCTGGGCTGCCCACTCGTCTGCGGCGTTCAGATCACCAGGAAGCGACACGTGGAGCGGCTGTCGCGCTATGTTGAGCTCATCGGTTCCAAGGACACCACAATCGCGGGCTGCCGCAGCGGGCACTCTCCCATCTACCTCTGGTTCGCGCTGAGAGGGAAGGGAGTGAGAGGCATTAGCAGGGATGTCCGCCGTTGCCTGCGCAACGCCCGATGGCTGAAGGCCCGCCTACGCGCAGGCAAGATCGGGGCCATGCTGAATCCGCTCAGCACAACGGTTGTGTTTGAGCGCCCGCTCGAGGAGGCCTTCATCCGGCGATGGCAGATCGCTTGCCAGGGGGATATCGCGCACATCGTGGTCATGCCTAACGTCACAAGGGCGAAGCTGCAGGTGTTCCTTGACGAGCTCCTCGAGTTGCGGCGGGGAGCAGGACAGACGGACGAGGTCTGGTCTTGCATTGCGCCGGAGGTGGGGGGCGACAACTGCGCTTGCGAGCAATGCTCAAGGAACAGCAGCAACGCGGACATCGACCTCGGAGTCCCAGTGGGGATGGGTAGTGGGGGTAGATGCGAACTCATTTCAGGCGCCATAGTGTGAAGAGGTCCCATTTTCTGCTGTTAGCTCAAAGAGTTTCTGAGCTTCGAGAAGTTATCTGATGATTTATCCATTGGAACGCTGGTCCCGTTTCCAGCAGGTGCAGCTCCCCACGCACAGAAAGGAGCCATCAGAACCGCGCCGGTTCTCTACCCTCTGGGGCTCTTTCCACACATTGTCAATGGGTAGGAGACCTGGTGCCGGACGATGTTTGAAGAAAAGGTAAAAAAGGCGGAACGGTTATCCCCGGCCTCAATGTTTACGATATAATAATAAAATAAAATATCCAACCCCAATCATAGCCTCTGCTGCTACTCGATGAGGGGTGGGGGACGATGAGAAAGGGAGGCGCAGCTACTGGCAAATGCTCGGTCTTTGTGTTAGCCGAACCCCCACCGGCGGCCCCACCCCCCGAGGGGCAACATGAATTACCTCGCTTGCGAGGCCCTATGCTTGCAGGGGTCCCTTCTATATCTCTATACATATAAAAACTGATAGACCGCGCCTGGCGCGGTAGCGCAGCCAAGGGGCGGAAGGGTGACGCGTAAGGAGCGAGGAGGCATTTCATGGGGAAAGGGGAGGGGAAAAAAAGGGACAGCAATAAGGACGTTTTGGGCCGTGCCAAGGAAAAGGCAGACACCACAGGACATTTGTTGACATCCCACCAAATGACTTCGCCCACCGCGGAGAGGAGGAGGGAAGGGCTTACAGCCAGGATGGCTGTGTATACACTGATGTCTTTTGTCCTCTAGCTATCGCATTCCATCTTATGGGGAATATGGGGAATGTCGTCGACCGCTTAGTACGTCTTAGAGGGGTATAGAAGGAGTCGTTGCATGCAAAATAGGGTTGTGGTCACCAACAGGAGACCGACCGGTCGTTTCCTCACGTAACGTGGCTGCGGTCGGGAGAGGGTGGCGTGGTCATGCGGTGAAGAGCGGGGAGGTGGAGGTCGTTGGAGGGTTTCAGGTATAGGAAAGTTTGATGTTTGATGTGGCTGCACACTGCACAAGCAGTGTGCATCGGGACCCGTAGTTAGTAGGGAAGGGATTTCTGTGGCTGCATTAGCCGTAACGTCTGCCAGATTCGTCGGGCTACCGCAGGGCGCATGTTGTCTGGGGGTGGACGGAGTTGCGGGTTGTATGCAAAATTCTGGGGGTGGATGGAGTTGCGGGTAGTATGCAGGTTTCTGGGGGTGGATGGAGTTGCGGGTAGTATGCAGGTTTCTGCCGGTGGATGGAGTTGCGGGTAGATGCATGCAGAAAAGAAAAAGCAAAAAAAAAAGCAAAAACCTTCCTCAACCGCACATCTCCACAAACACGTCCAGATTCAGCCTTCGAGGACACTGCACGCTGCTTGTGGGACTTGGCCCCTGCGGTGATTGCTGGCAGCAGCAGCCAGTGACTCGGGCGTCGTTGCATGCAATAAAGGGTTGCTGACGGTGAAAGGGGACCGACCGGTCATGCGGGCGGTGTGGTGGCGGTCGTGGTAGACGGTCGTGTGGTTGTGCGGTCTTGTTTCTAGTTAGGAAAGAAAGTGTTATCTAGTCGTTCAGCATGCGTACAAAGATCGACGGCCAGAGGTGACCAGGCGCAAAGATCGACGGCCAGAGGTGACCAGGCGCATACAGCCACCCGAGTCTGTTGCAATGTTTAAGTGACAAATCACTTCCCTCTCGAGGTTTTGTTCGGGTTTCGAGTGTGCACGGCTCCTTGCCATCAAATCTGAAAATCTGATGGCCCTAGTGTGACCACGTTGGAAAATACACGAAACATAAACTAAACCCCCGCTAGTGGGTCATGGCCCCGCGTGCACGCAGGTCCGGCCTGAGGGCACGCTTAGACTGCGATACCAGATCCCCAATTTATGAGAAATTGCGGAGGCCCAATTTGGGGTTTTAGTGGTGGCCCAGGTCACACCGTGTCCCCAATACGGAAAAGACATGGCTGGGGTCACCACACGATTTTGGGAAATGGGAATTCGGCAGTCACACGATACCAACCGCAATTCTGCAGCTGTTTTTTTTTTTTTTTTGCCTCTGGGATTTGCGGCCGCTTGGCATCAACGGGAAAGGCTTCAGATGTAGCTCCTTGCACGGTGTTTGCCAATAGAGCTTGCCCGCTGGTGCATGTACAGCGGAMTTTAGGAAAGAGAGAACCGCCACCCATACCCGCCATGCCAGATCACCAATCCACTCTGAGTGCACGTGCGTCAGCAGTCGAGTCACTTCCTCCTACTGCACTGTTGCCATGAAGCAACAAGATACA